CACTGTCTCCTTAAGAAGTGGCCTAAGGAGGGACCTGCTGAGGTCTTTGCCTTCTCACCACCCCCCAGAGGCTCTGGAGAGCGATGGGGAGCCCTCCGCCTCTGCTGTTATCCTCCACCCTGCTCCTCCCTCTGAGTGCCCTTGGGCAGATCTGGCAGGCCCATCTCCTGGCCATTCCTCTTCTCTGTCCCCTCCAGTTTCTTCAACCTTATGTGGGGCTGCATGGGACCCATCTTGAAGAGGCTCCCCTGAGCCTAGCCTGGAAACCCCAGCAATGAAGGCAGGGGGTAGGGCAGTAGTTTCTGTGGACCCTGATTCAGAGTACTTTGGGGCCAGGATTTAGCCGTTGGCTTGTAAGTCCCCCTTTCTCTGTATTTTCTCCACTCCCTCATGTGCCTGGGTCCCAGCTGCTCTCACTCAGAGCACATCAAGGTGTGTTGCTGTGCACTGGGGCCAACCCGGAGCTCTTGGGTGACATTCTTTCCACTTGCCCTTTGAGAGCATGACTCCAAGGAAGGCCTCAGAGGAACTGCAGGGTGAAAAGTCTTAATCGAGGTGGATGGAGAGTGGAGGATCTAGTGAGGAGGAGGACCACAAGAGGCTGCCGAGTTCCTTGTGATGCTAGAAGCTTTGGCCAGATATAGCAGAAGGGAGAACTATGGTATCCCTGGGTCTGGGTTAAAGAAACAGTATGGGGAGGGGCTTCCCTGGTGGCGCGGTGGTTAAGAATCCGCCTGCCAATGCAGGGTGCACGGGTTTGAGCCCTGGTCCCGGAAGATCCTAAGCCCGTGTGCCACAACTACTGAGCCTGTGCTCTAGAGCCCGTGAGCCACAACTACTGAGCCCGCGAGCCACAACTACTGAAGCCCGCGTACCTAGAGCCCATGTCCACAACAAGAGAAGCCACAGCAATGAGAAGCCCGTGCACCGCAATGAAGAGTAGCCCCACTCACCGCAACTAGAGAAAGCCTGCGTGCAGCAACGAAAACCCAACGCAGCCAAAAATAAATAAATTAATTAAAAAATATATTAGTTCTTAAAAAAAAAAGAAATAATATGGTGAGCTAGTTCTGCTCCACCCGCCCCCAAAGCAGATGAAGCAGTTTGAGAAAGAGTAGAGTGTAGGGGTGAGGGATGGTCACTCATGCCCATCGTTGTATGTCAGCACCTAGCATGGTGCCTGGCGCACAGCAGGAGCTGGCAAATATTTGTTGCATGAATGAAGGGCCATTGTTGGGGGGAAGTTAAGGAAATGCTTCTTGAAATTCTTTCTCTCTAAGGACTCTGTCTAGGATGGTTTCCAGCAGCATAGTGGGGTCTCTCTGAGAGTCTCTGCTTAGGGAGAGTCATGGAGTCCTAGGCTGGCAGCCAGAGGGGACCTCAGCTTTCCTGGCAGTGAGAAGGGAGGCAGGTTTTACTCAAGGCACAAAAGAAAAAGTGTGCCAGAGGGAGGTAACCCCAGCCTGTGTGGCTGAGGGAGGGGCAGATTAACATGGAAGCTGAATTGAGGAGAGGGAGGAAGAGCAGGCTGTAGGATAAACCCGTCAGGATCTGGCCTGGGCTGTGGGTCTCTGATGAGGCTGGTGGGAGGCAGGTGCCTGGAGCCCTATGCCTGGCTTCCCTCTGAGTGTGCTCTTGTCGTCTCTGAGGTCCGCTGTCTACAATAGGGCTGGGGAGGTGCTGTCAGTCTGGTCAGGTGGTTTTGCTCTTCTTGGGGGCACAGATGCTACAGGAGCTGAGTACTGGACCAGACGGTCCATTTGGAGCCTGTCCCCTCTTCCCTCCTACCTCCCAATCTCCTGGCCCAGTTTGTTGTGCTCCCAGTGGATCCTGTAATCTGCTTTCTGGCAAGCCAGGGGAGGGTGGGCTGGCCCCAGACTCCTAGTTCTGGGGCAAAGACAGTAGCTAGGTGATGGAGGAGGAATAACCTATGTGTGGATAGCATCAGAAAACACCCCCTTCTCCATCCTGGCTTCCTCTCTTCCTTCCATAGCTGCTGGACTTCCAGCCAGGGGCAGGTCAGTGGGACTCCTCTCCTTTACAAAAACACAACAAACCCCTGGATTATTTAATATGCAGGAGTGAGAATTGACATTATCCTTAAGACAGGTTGTTTGCAACTTACTGGTGGAAGTCAAAATATTTCACCAAAGGTGTCATCAGAAACTACTATCCTATGCTAATTTTTGTGGGAACATGAAGACAGATGTTGAATAATTTGACAAGAGCAACATAGCTTACAGAATTATCACCAAGTCAGGTTTTTTTCCCTCCTCTGAGGGGTGCGGAGAGGGAATTTCAGGAAGTGTGTCTCCCAGTGCCGTCTTCTGGGTGTTGATCTGAGTGTGGGCACACTTGGGATTTTTCACTGGCATTTCTACCCCATGCCTTGAAACTGGCTGTCCCCTGGAGAAGGAAGGCATCGCATCAGAAAACTCTTGCCTCCCGGGGCAAGCAGAAGGCTTGGGGGTTTCTAAATGTCCTCAAGAGGATCCCTGCCTCTGTCCCTTCTTCCTTCTCAGTTATAGAAACTACATGAGGGAGAAAGAGGGCCTTGTGTCCACAAATCCAGGCTGTTTTGTTTGCTTTGTCAGCATTGTCTGCACCCCTGCCCCACCGAGTTTAAGTTGACCCCTGTGCTAGTCTGAGGGCTCCCAGGCCTGATGTCGGGCCGGAGAGTCCTCCTTCAGGTCAAGAGCCACATGATGTCCCATCGTACACTGCAGGCTGCAAATCTGTGCTTCCTGCCTGGAAGGGGGCTCTGGGGAATGGGGCTGGGGGTGGTTAGAGAGGATGAGTTTGTTAGCCAGGAAGGCACCTTCGAGAGGTGGGCTGGGGACATGCCAAGAGCCTACTTGTAATTGGCCAGGCCTGGCTGTGAGCTGCTGGGGCCAGGGTGGCAAAGCCTCGATTAGAGCCTGGTATTAGCTCTGCTTTGCTGGAACATGGAGGGACGGGTGAGGGCTCCATAGGGAGAATGGAGGGAGCTAATCACAGCTGCCAAGGCCAACAAATGAATGATGCAGGAAATCAATACCTGGGGGGCGGGAGTGGAAATCCGGGCAGTGATAGCAGCCATGGCTTCTCCCGCTGCCCAGGAGACGCAGGTGGGCCTGGAAGGAGTGAGACAGAGGCAGCAGTGTGAGGACCTCCTCTCCCCCACACCCTCCCCCATCCCCTTCGTCTGCCTTCCTGTCCCCCACTCCTACCTTTCATCTCCTTGTGGCTGGGCTCAGGGAGGATGGGCCAGGAGATG